GTCGTGATTTTTGTAAGGTAAAAATATGTTGGAAAGTGTTTCGAGGTTACGGTAAATAACCGGGGTACGACGAGTCGGGACTGTAGGGCCTAGGGGTGGTTTGATTCCACGTAGATAGAAGGATACATAAAATATGAGATTATTCATCGGGAACTTAGATTGATTCTTCCAAAGGGATTCCCGATGATTTTTCATATCATGCATGTCTCATTATGGTGTTGAAGATATAGGTGGGAAAATCTCAGTCTATGGTCTTGGGATCGTAGGGTTATAAAGGTGGGAGATTCTCACTATATGGTCTTGGGATCATAGGGTTATAAAAGTGGGAATTTATCTCACTCTATGCGTGTGACAATTATATGATGAAGAACTCCGACAAAAAAGGGAAGTATATGATTGCTTTAATTTATGTTTCATGTATATGTATAATATACATGTATGTATATATATGTATGCTCTATGCGTTATGTGTATTCGATAATACTTCAAGATTCTCATTGAGTCCTCAAAGGCTCATATAGGTGTTGTATGTTTGTAGGTATACCCGATTTGGAGCCCGAGGAGTGAAGTTGAGAATCGAGCTTGAGAATCGGGAGGAGATCGTACGGAGGGGTTGTGGATTTTGTTGGCTCTTAACTTAGTTATATGGTTTTGTTTGTATAATATGCTTGTAAAAACTTTTGATACGGTTTTAGGTATTTTCTACCGTTCGCTTCCTCCGATCGGTGGAAATTATTAAAAGAAAATATGTGTAATAGTAATTAGGATTACCCTGTTTTGGATATTAAATCGGTAATCCGTTGTATTTGTAAACGAAGGCAAATTTTACCATCTATATGCATGCACACGTTTTGGCTAGGAATTTCTTCGTGTCTTGTCTCGATGTTTGAAAATTGTTTTCATATAGGTGTTCTGCTTAGAAAATCATAAAGTTTTGGGAGTCTCTGTATCTCTCTGTTCTCATTATTTTGATAGGTCTTTTGCATGAATTAAGTAAGTATATAATTAGTTAGGAATTATTTCTCACTACTGCACTAAACAGGTTCAGTCTAGCTTTTTCTGTTATAATTGGAGTTTTACTCGCTTAAATGCCATTTTTCCACTTGGAAAATATTTTAAACTTAGAGTTCTGCCTTGGGATAAAATTTGGTAGTTTTTGGGTCAGTGAGGAATTTATTATGAAATTTCAAAACTCCCTCCCCTGTTCTGGATTTTAAATTAAGTGTCTATGCCATTTTATTTATTTCTCTCAAATGGTCAAGCATATTTCAAAACAGTTTTAACTACGTAATGTTGACCCATGGTAGATGGTATGATATTATTTTAGAGTCATTTGCATAATTTTTTTAAGAGGAATTAGTTTTTAAAGTTGTTGCACTTAATCTGTCTGAATTTTCATTAGGTCCATCATACCTAGTTATTTTTTAGTCTTGCATGCAGTATATATTTGTGTTCATTGATTGATTAGGGTTTAGTATAGGTTGACTTTCTCCCTCTGATTTAAAAAGAAATTTTTTTACGTAAATTTATATCCACAATAATCATTTTTAAAAAGTCTTCCGCTGAGATTACATATAATAAGAGTAATCGAGAGAGGGGTGTCACATCAGGTATTTTTTAAAAAATGGAGCAAGTGAGAAAAACACGTTTCTCTCCACTAAAATATGTTCTATTACTGTCAGTGACAGTAACTTATTAGTTTTGGTGCAATTTTAACAGTGAAAAACTCAGACACCTGTATTGGTAGCAATATATTTGTTGCACTTTTAAAGAGTTTATTGCAAATATCACCCCTGTGAAATCGCGAATGGCAAATAACCCCCTGTGAAAAAAAAACTCACTCATGCCTCCCCGTGCAACCTATTTTGAAGCACACTGCACCCATTGGCATTTTTCTTGTTGACCAAAGGTCAAAAGACAAAAAAGCCCAGGGTTTTTTTGCAATTAGAAAAGCAATAGTGTTTTAATGAATAAAATACAAAATAAAATACATATATATATAATAATTAAAAAAAAATATTAAACAAATATATTTATTAAATACAATAAAAATATATGTTAATAAAAAAAACAAACTAAAACATATGTTAAATATTTTAATAATTATAAAAAATAAAAGAAGTCTGCATCTTCTTCTCCACACACACACACACACACACCCCGACCACCGCCGCCTGCCTCCACCCCCAACCACTTCACTCCACCCATCCAACTCACAATTTAATTTATCCACCATTCAGCCCAAGTCGGAGCATACCACCGCTGCTCACCACCACATCTTCAGATCTTCTTCCAATTGAGGCATGCTGCGGCGGAGGTGTGCGGCCAGTGGGCGGTGAGATTGAACGGAGAAAATGGAGGCCCAGAAAATGATTTTTCTTCCACTATCATCATCTTCGTGTGGCGACAGCGGTGGTCATCCTTGGAAGCTTAGGTTTCTTCGAAGTTTTTTGGGCCATGTTTGACAGGGGCGGCTTCTTGAGGAAGATGACACGAATGAAGAACGGGAAACAGGGGAAAGAAAAAAGAAACAAAAAAAGCGAAGGGAAAGGGAAAAAGAGAGAGCCTTGGGGGCATTTCTGACAATTCACACATAAAAATGTAGCAAAAGTCCCACTATCAGCGCGTGAGAGACACGATTTGTTCTTAGGGGGTGGATGCTTTGACTTTGTTTACACAGGGAGGTATGGGTGAATTTTGTTTCACAGGGGGTTATTTGACAATTCGCAATTTCACAGGGGTGGTGTTTGCAATTAGCTCCACTTTTAAACATAAAGTACGCAGAGTAACATACTACAAATACTTAACAGTACATAAAACCTACAACCATAGAGTAGGTTACTACAAAAACTTAACAATACATTTAAACCTACAACTATAGAGTATCATACTACAAATACTTAAGAGTACATTTAAAACTACATTACATTAAGCCTATCACACTGGTTTTGACAGCTTAATTCTGTGACTAACAGTGCTTTTGTTGTTCAGGAATAAATGAACTATTTCCTTTCTGAAAATTTTAATGTTTTTTTTTGCATCCCACTTGTCCACTAGCTGTTGACGGAAGTACTGCTGATGTAGTACAAAAATCCCGCAAACCTCACTATCGTCCTCTTGCCGAGGTGAATCCCCAACTTCTTCAAGTGTTGCATCTAGTGGGATTTTCATGAATTTACTTTATATGGCAACTGCTTCAACACCTTTTACATGCAGTTTTCTTTATTCAATTTTCGAGGTTAATGTTTTTTAAGATACGAAGTTTCCTTTATTTTATTTTAGGGTTAATATGCTATAATTCCCTAGTTGGAAACCTAATTAGATCATGTGGAATACAACTCCAATATTTTTTATGAACTAAATTCTTTTTAAAAAAATAAATACGACTCACATCCTTATTTTTTATTTTATCCCTAATTTTCCCTTAACTTAAATCTATAAACTCTAAAGTCACGTTTATTTTTCTTTTTTCCCCTCTCTCTCTCTCTCTCTCTCTCTCTCTCTCTCTCTCTCTCTCTCTCTCTCTCTCTCTCTCTCTCTCTCTCTCTCTCTCTCCACCACCACTCCACTCCATTGTTGAAGGGCCGGTGATTATGGCGCAACTAGGATGGTTGAGGCCATGCAATAAGGGGGGTGGATGGTTATAAAGGCAAGGAGACGGCGGCTATGGTGGTGTGAGGTTAGATCTATGTGGGAAGGTTGCGACTATGATGGTGTGATATCAGATAGATGGTCGAAGGCGACGGCTATGGGAGATAGGGTTTATTTTCTCCGTGGCTAGGGTTGGTGAGCGGCTAGATATTGGTAAATAGGGTTTGGCGACGGCTAGGGAGTTGTTGGTTGCTAGGGTTTGGCGGCGTTGGAATTTGTTGGCTGCCATGGTTTGACGGCGGCTGAAAGATGATGAATGTAGGGTTTAGCAACGGCTGAAAGTTGTTGGATATTAGGGTTTGGGATAGTACAACATACTACACCATAGTACACCATAGTGTATCATAGTATATCATAGTACACCATTCATCATTATATATTTACATTATTATTTAACAAAAACGAAAAAAAAGGTTTTTCGTAACTTTTAATACAATAATGTTAAAAATAAGGGGAAAAAAAGTTATTTATAATAATGTTAAAGTGGCTAAAATGAAAAAAAAAAAGTAAAGATGACACAGCTGTAAAAATAAAATGAAAGAAAATATGTTAGATGATGAAATTAAGATATTAAATGCATAATAGAAAATGATAAATGTATTATAAATTTTACTTAATGCAAATTTCACATTTGTGGATGGAGGGGGTATTTTTGGAATGAATTTAAAAAATGATGTGAAACAAGTGTTTCGTTAGGCTTGTCATTTAGTTCTTATAAATTTTGTCACCAGGAACCTATATCTTAAGACCCCTTTATTTTATTTTTTTGGTAAATAACTATTTTTCTACTTACCATTGTTTCCGTGATATACATATATGGATCTCTGCTCTGGTTTTCCACTGCCCTTGACTTGTATGAGTTGTAATGTTTCCATGTTTTTACCTATATATCCAGGACGACCAAAGTCCAATGATTGTTATCCTTGAGTTTGTTGCCTCTGAAATGAAGTGGAAACAAGAAAAAACGGCACTGCTGAACATCAATTTTATGAATGAGGTCCCTCAGAACTTTACTGAGGTCCTGTTTGGATTGGAGGATTTCAAACGAATGGATTTGAAATACCTTGGATTTGAAATCCATACAATTTAAAATCACCTGTTTGGATACATGAAGATTTATACAAAGGATTTCAAATCAAATTCACTGTTTGGCTAAAAAATAGTGGATTTAAATTCTTTAATTAGTTTTACAAATATTTTCATATGTGATGTTGCAATTATTGAACTTTTGAAAAATGTCAGCTAAGTTTCATTAAATAACAACACTATATATATATATATATATATATTAACAAGATTACCTACAAAACACAAGAACTGTAGTTAAGTAAAATTTGCTATCTCAATAATGTCTTCTAAAATGAAAAATAGTTCATAAAACTCCATTACAGCATAAAAGAAAATTTGCATAGTTTATCGAGTTAACTAAATCGAGTTCCAAATCAAAACAATTAAGAGTAAATTAGAAAGTAAATCCAATCTTTTTTCTTTTCATCCGGTAGAGCTTTCAACAAATTAAATTCTTCTTCATTTCCATTCATCAACATTCGAACAGCTTTAAAAACTTCATCGTCGGTTAGCCCAGGTATCATTGAGACAACATCATGCATCTCAATGCCGCTTGATTTCTCCTCACCTTTCCTTTTACTAGCTAGAAACTCTTGGAATGAAGTAGCTATTGCACTAACAACTTCAGCTAAAGAATCTTTCTTTGGTCTTTTTTTCTTATCATTCATAGAATCTGTCGAACTTGATGGTCGTACTCTTGATCCCGATATAGGAGCTGAAGTCACTTCAATTTCATCTTCTTCACCTATTGCTTCTACACCTTCATCAAAAGTTTCAGCTCCTTGACCGGTTGCTCTATCTTTTCCACACAAAAGAATAATATCATCCCAATTTTCTATCATTTTATTTTGCATACCTTTTGCATCGGGGTGCGAATGAATATAAATCAAATCAAACAACCAATTATAACATATGCATGTAATACAAGCAATTTGTGTTGTATAACCATTAACAACTTTTACTTGCGCAAAAAAAAAAGATGTACAAGAGTTAAAATCATCTAACCTCAACATATGAGTTCCAAGAGCTCCATTCATCTGATGTGACAACAATCAATTTGCGTACTTCATCCCATGTAAAACCACTTTGCTTGGTCTGAATATCTGACACAACATTAAACGATTTCTTCCAAATTTTGAGTCGATTTTTTATGTTATCCTTTGTCAAGTTAAGATGTAACTTTGAGTTCAAATACGTCACAGCTGCATGTAAAGCTTGGGCCTTCCAAGTATCACCATCACATTTGTTTCCTTGAGCCATTTGATCAGTCAAAATTGTTGCCAAATGATTGTCCATCTCTCTATTCCAAGAAACATATGGTTGCCTCTTGTACTTGGGTGCTGCAAATAATCATTCAACAAAGAAAATATGTTTAGAAGACAATTAAGCACAAGATAATAGAAATATCAACATTATATTGGCTGCTTTAATATGCAAAATTGTGTCAAATATCCAGCTAGTGCTGCTTATCAAGATTAAACTTTCAAAAATATTGAAAAAGTCCGCAAAAAAACTGCATATTAAAAATAAATGCTAATTGACATTTACCTTCAAAGATATTAACAGTTGGAGCTTCCACATCCTTAGACACATCTCTAGCTTTGTTTGAAGTTGTAGCTCCCTTTTTCATTTTGCTAATTATACTTAAAAGTAACAAACAATTTTATAAAAAATACATCACAATCAAATTACTTCATAAAGGATTTCACATAAATATTTATGTCAAACTTTGCGCAAACCATGACAAACCAAAAAAAAAAAAACATTCTAATTATTGAGCCAAAAATTTAAAATTTAAAGTCATAAAGAAAAATAACCACTAAATAATTATTATCCCAATAAAAAATTAATAAGTAAAAAAAATTGAGCTATCTTCTGCGAGCTTGATAATCCTGAAACATTTGTTGTGCCAAATTATCACGAAACATTGTCCATTCATTTGTAGTCTTGACAGTTCTTATTTGTTGTTGTTGTTCTTCTTCTTCTACGTCCAAATCATCATCATCTGGTCTAGTGTTCTCTAATTCTCGATCAACTTCATCCAAGAGAGGGTCTATGGGCATCTCACCGCGCAAAAAGTTGTGTAAAATACAACAAGCATTGATGATTCTAATTCGTGTCTTTACGCTATAGAAGCTTGCGGTACGCAAAATCGCCCATCTTTTCTTTAACAAGCCGAAAGTTCTTTCAATTGCATTTCTTGCAGAAGAGTGTCGAAGATTGTAAAATTCTTTATAATTTATTGGAGTATTTCCTCTGCACAAATTAAGATGGTAACGAGTTTTTCTGTATGGTGCAAGAAAACCCGGCCCATTTGTGTAACCCGCATCCACAAGATAATACTTGTCCGACAGTTTATAAAATTAGAGGATTTAGAAACTAAATAAAAATAAATGAAATTTTTATTTACCAAAGAAATTAGACCTACTCTTGTAAAATTTTAAGCCATTAGTTCTTTGTAAAGCATCACGCAAAACTCGTGCATCTGAAGTAGACCCCTTCTATCCAGGTAGAACATAGATGATTTTTAAGTTAGCATCACAAACTCCTAAAACATTTGTACTTATCATGCCTTTTCTGTTTCGGTATCTACTTCGTTCTACAGCTGAAACTGTGAGCCCAACAAATGTACCATCTAAGGCTCCCACTGCATTGTATACATATTATTACCAATGAGAACTTAAACATAAAACTTAAATAAAGTTAACAAATTAAATTAGTGGTCATTACCGGAAACCATTTCCATCTCTCAGCATCTCTTTTGTGGAATAATTCATTCCTTTGGTGATTGAGATAGAGCTTTCCAATTTTTAACACGGCTTGCAAAACGATATGAAATTGTCTACTCACAGTTTCACCCGAGCGTACAAACGTGGTTGCAATAGTGCTATTTTTTTTATCATGACCAAGAATATGCAAGAAAAGTGCCACAATTTCTTTTATCGTCACATTCTTTGTTGCTACCAGTCCACCATCCTTTTGCAACACGTTACACAATCCATTAAGCAATCTATTATTTACCCGTAATTGCTTCAAGCATGTTGGATCATGACATAAAGATCTCATCCAAAGTTTTCTTTTGTAAACTCTATCGTCATTTTCGTTCAATAATAAGTCTTTCGCTAAGTACTTGCCATGATGCCAAGCTCCAATTATACCAATTAAAGAGCTGAACAAACACATAATAATTTCTATCTCTTCTTCATCTTTTTCCATTTCCCCTCATGAACGTTTTCTATGAACAATATCCATTTAATCTACATCCAAATTTGTTGTAATAATTTAGTAAAAATAGAACATACAAGTAATTTAAACTATGACCTTCTAAGACACATAATGAAATTAACTATCAAATAAAAATATAAAAAAAAAAAAAAGAAAAAAAGAAAGATCCAGGAATTACATAATTCCTACTAACAGCAAAGAAATAAAAAATAGGAACTTTACCATAGAAAATCGAGAAATATGGCAGATGATATAGTTGATATTAAGCTTCAAAGTCAGTTGCACCGCCGAGCTCCGCCGCCGAGCACCACCGTCGAGCACCACCGTCGAGTACCGCCGTCGAGAACCACCGTCGAGCCCCACCGCCGAGCACCACCGTCGAGCCCCGCCACCGAGCACCGCCGTCGAGCACTGCTGTCGAGTGCCGCCGTTGAAGAGAAATATTCCCTGCTAATTCCCTAGCTAGAAGATCGATGGTTGAAGATATCCCTAATTTTTTAAGAATGCAGAGAGAAGTCCCTATAACTCGATAGGTGGATTTAAAATGACTAGATTTGTGGGAGGATTTGAAGTCCATTAAAAAATGGGCTCAAATCCATCGGTTTTTAGGGGTATTTGAAATCCACTGATTTAAGTTGCAGGCCAAACGACGTAATGGATTTGGGTAGTGGATTTAAAATCCGCCCTAGCCCAAATCCGTCCTTCACCATTTAGTTGCTGAAGAACGCCTTGTATGTTATATATATATATATATATATATATATATATATATATATATATATATATATATATATATATATATATATATATATATATATATATATATATATATATATATATATATATATATCTGAAATGATTTACGCGGCAGCAAAATTACGAATGTCGTTCACAATAGTTTTCTCTTTCTCTCTCTAAAAACCCCCAAATCCATCCAAGCCCCAAAAACCCCAAAATTCACAAAAACCCTCAACCTCTCTCACAAATTCTTCCAAATCCGAAAATCTCGTCAATTTGAAAGGTAATTAATCATCTAATGTAGTTATATATATTGAATTTGTGGTTAATTATGTGAAAATTCCCAGAAAATCGCGTTTTGGGGCTGTTTTTAGTGTTGGGTTTTCGAATTTTCCACGCCCGAAATGGGAGTGTGAAAGCAGTTTTCATGCCTAAAACAGGCGTGGAAACTGCTTTCACACGCCCATTTTGGGCGCGGAAAACTGGTTTGGACGTTCGGTCTCGTCCGGTTAAATTTTTTTTTTTATCCCAGTATAAATGACATTGTATATTATATTTAAATAATTATTAGTTAATGAACTCGCTCTGGCCTGGTTGGTTAGGCATATTGTATGTTACGCAATAGACCCGTGTTCGAGTCTTTCCAGCAGCGTGTATTTATTATTTTTTTGCCAAGTATAAAGAAATCTATAAATACGATTCAATAATAACTTATTATCAAAATGGCTATGGCTTTGTTGGTTAGGTAAGCCTATGCTTCCAAAGTAAAGTTCCGTGTTCTAATCCTTGAGGCAGCCCAGATATATAATTTTTTTTTATTAAATCTCAGTCACGAGCGCGCCCAAACCGGGCGCGGAAAGCTGTGTTGCGCGCCCAAACCGGGCGCGGAACACAGCTTTTGCGCGCCCAAATCGGGCGTGAATCGGGCTTTTTAGCTCCCAGTTTGGTCGTGGGTCGCGTTTTCACGATTTAAAGAACAAAAACGAACAAATTTTATCTCATTGGATTCCGTATCTCGATCCTCATTCGATGCACTCATTTTTTTTTGCAAATGGCTACAATAACATGAGTTTTGGAATGATTTCTAATATAAAAGCTAAAATTGTAGAGAGAGAAAGAAAGATAGAGAGTGGATTTTTTAAAACGACATTCGTAATTTTGCTACCGCGAATATCACCTCCCTATATATATATATATATATCGCGCCCAAACCGGGCGCGGAAAGCTGTGTTGCGCGCCCAAACCGGGCGCGGAACACAGCTTTTGCGCGCCCAAATCGGGCGTGAATCGGGCTTTTTAGCTCCCAGTTTGGTCGTGGGTCGCGTTTTCACGATTTAAAGAACAAAAACGAACAAATTTTATCTCATTGGATTCCGTATCTCGATCCTCATTCGATGCACTCATTTTTTTTTGCAAATGGCTACAATAACATGAGTTTTGGAATGATTTCTAATATAAAAGCTAAAATTGTAGAGAGAGAAAGAAAGATAGAGAGTGGATTTTTTAAAACGACATTCGTAATTTTGCTACCGCGAATATCACCTCCCTATATATATATATATATATCGCGCCCAAACCGGGCGCGGAAAGCTGTGTTGCGCGCCCAAACCGGGCGCGGAACACAGCTTTTGCGCGCCCAAATCGGGCGTGAATCGGGCTTTTTAGCTCCCAGTTTGGTCGTGGGTCGCGTTTTCACGATTTAAAGAACAAAAACGAACAAATTTTATCTCATTGGATTCCGTATCTCGATCCTCATTCGATGCACTCATTTTTTTTTGCAAATGGCTACAATAACATGAGTTTTGGAATGATTTCTAATATAAAAGCTAAAATTGTAGAGAGAGAAAGAAAGATAGAGAGTGGATTTTTTAAAACGACATTCGTAATTTTGCTACCGCGAATATCACCTCCCTATATATATATATATATATATATATATATATATATATATATACTCAATCATGCAATAACGATATATAAATTTTAATATTGTTGACATCATTTACTCACCATATGGGAACTTGAAAAGACATAACTTTCCTCATCCAAACCATGATTGATGTTATCATTAAAATATCATTCCTCTTGTCGCGTTTGCAGAATGGACGAGTATGAATCAAGTACCTACATGCAACAACAAAAATAGAGTCAGCCTGAACGATCATTTGTGTAATATACTGGTTTTGGTAGTTTTTTAGTTAAAGTGTCTGTGTTTGACGGTATTTTTTATGTAAGTGGGCACTCACTTGTGTACTGGTTGATCCCTCCGTCAAATATGTGATTATGTCACCCATCTCAACAAACGCATACACACTCCCGTCTTTATTGTACCAAATTAAGATCTCACCCCTTACGTAAAGAGTTAATGTGTTAGAATGATTTAAAGATGAATATAAAAAGGATTATATTCTGATACATACTTATGATCGTCCTCTGTTATATCTACTGTCATATTCTCTACAACAATTTTGTCTTCATTAGAGAGCAGGCCGAAGATGTATTATTTTGGTATGAAAAGTCCTTTCGTCTTTTTTTCTTGACCGGCTCTGGTTGCTTGTTGTTGACCTCAGGATCTTTACGTTTCCCTCGTGTCCTCTCGGCAACAGTCGATTTACGATTCTTCTTTGTCGTCTTATCTCCGAGATCATCCTTCTTTTCAGTTTCATTCAGTTTTGAGCGTGTCACTTGATTTATGCGTCTTTTTTTGTTTCGACGTCCCTCATTGTCTCGTGTTGATCCTCAAAGTCTATCTCAACATCATTCGGCTTTAGCTCTTCTTTGAGGGTCGAATCAATCAAAGTTTGCAGATTCTGCTCCATATCCTCAATCTTCGTCTTCAACTACTTATTTTTTCACACAACTTTTCATTTCCATGCTTAAATTAAACAACCTGGCAATGTAATTCCAGGATGCTACTAAATGATGTATCCGAGTTGGGTTGACAATTGTTGACATCATCGTTTGGTTCTACAGGTTGACAAACAAATTCATCAATCTTTTTTGGTTAGGGCGTCGTTTTGTGCACGAAGAGTAGGAATCTCATCTTCATTCAATGTGTATTTTTCAATTGCAGTGGCGAGTTTTGTGTTCAGTTCTTGTACTTGTCTCTCTAATCTTGCACTTGAGGATGCCTCAATCTGACTGTTAGTTGGTATATCAATTAACCTCGCCAGATCATGTTCTTGTATTTTGTTCGTCTCTTCAAGATTTTTAATCTTGTTTCTCAAAGTTGCTTCTTCCTCTTTCGACAATCTTTCCTCAACAACAAATTTGAGAGCGTTTATTTGACCAATGAGGGTAAAAATTTCACCTTGAAGTGTCTCAATGGAACTTTGCTGCTCTGAGACTTTTTATCTTAACATTTTTAATCTTGTATAGAAAATTACATGTACGTGTTCGATTTTCCACCATCTTCTCGGTTGTGTTTTCTTTTGTGGCGGTTTGCAGACTTACAGTCTCTCCATCGATCTCAGCAATAAGGGGCTATGGTTACAGAGTTTGGGTTGAACGAAATGGTGGAGAGGTTTTGCATGTTTCCATTTGACGAGATTAGATTTTTCCCTTTTGTGGCGGTTTGCATAATTAAAAACTTTGCGTTGAAAGAAACGAGGGATAGGTTTTGCAGTTTCAATCTCACGATTTGAGATTTTTTAGCCTCAATTTCAGCTAAAACCTGATTTGGTGGATAATTATATTTAGGAAGGGAATTTTGCTATTTTGTTGCAAAGGGAAAATCAACCAAAAAATAATAGTAGGAGGTTATAGCAAAATAACACTCATGACTTGGATTAGGACCTCTATAATCGTGTGTGGCGAATAAGGCCAGACTCATTTGAAAAAGTGACAAAATCTCAACTAAGTCTGCAAGGACAGATGTTCTAGAAGGACAATTACGGGTAGGCCATCAATCCATGCTAACTAGTCTTGCCTCCCTTCCTAGGAGAGGGGGAGCGCAATGGGACCAAAGGATTCTCACCCCCAAAAGTGGCTGAATGCCCAACAATCGAATTCAGTTAGTACTAGTACAAATGGGATCCCACCTGATCCATCTCATCAAATAATTCCGGACTATGGATTTGTCATGCAGACGAAGTCGGGGGACGCCTCGACATTAATATCCATTTTCATGAATAGGAAAAACTCGGTTAGTTATTCATGCATGAATGAGATGTGGTATTGGGATGAAATGATTATCGACGATAAACTTCCCTATACATTAGCTACTGAACTTTTTATCAAGTGATGATATAAAAAATCGATCAATTGATAAGTGTAAACAAAGAGATGATGGCCGAAATGAAAAATAAAACAATCCAAGCTGAATTTGATTCATTGATAAAATGAATGTAAGGACCAGTAGTTCCTACACCTCCTTGGATTTCGCCCACGGAATATAAGTGATTACTCACAAAGAAAAAAAATGAGAATGGGAGCTAGAAGACTCATCTCATAGCTTAAGGAATTAAATGAGATTGGGAACCAGAAGAGTGATCTCATAGCTCAAACGAGATTGGGAGCCAGAAGACTCGTCTTATAGCTCGAGGAATTAAATGAGATTGAGAACCAGAAGATTCATCTCATAGCTCAAACGAGTTGGGAGCCAAAAGACTCGTCTCATGGCTCGAGGAATTAAATGAGATGGGAACCAGAAGATTCATCTCATAGCTCAAACAAGATTGGGAGCCAGAAGACTCATCTCATAACTCAAGGAATTAAATGAGATTGGGAACCGGAAGATTCATCTCATAGCTCATACGAGATTGGGAGCCAGGA